ACTCTGCTCATGTATGATTGTGACAGCCTGGATGGGTAGCTGCACAATCATACATGAGCAGAGTGAACAGGAGGGGGCTCAACACACATCCCTGAGGAGAACCAGTGCTGAGGGTTATGGTGGAGGAGGAGAAGTTGTGGATCCTCACTAACTGTGGTCTGTTTGTTAAGAAGTCTAGGACCCAATTGCAAATGGAGGGGCTTAGTCCTAGTGTGAGTAGTTTGTCCTTCAGGGTTTGGGGGATCATGGTGTTGAAGGCAGATGTGAAGTCCACAAAGATCATACGGACATAGAAGTCCTTCTGCTCCAGGTGGGTGAGAGCAGTTTGGACCACAGAGGAGATGGCGTCTTCTGTAGACTGGTTCTTGTGGTATGTGTACTGGTGAGAGTCCTCGCTTTATCAGCTGAAATCTACAACTCTGCAGGTTAATAACGTTTTCATGTTTTCTGTCTGAAGGATTGGAGCTTCATGTAAAATAACTGATTCATTTGTAGCTCCAGCTCAGCAAAGTTCACTGAGTTCATCATCTGAAGCAGCAGCTGGAGAACACAGAGACCAGAAACAGAAGCCGAAGGCAGGACGGGAGTTAAAACAGCTGCAGACACATCATTAAACAGTTTATGAACATTTTTCTCTCCGATTGTAACATGTGTGAACAGCAGTAAGTGTCACTTAACGTTCAGGTCCCGAGAAAACGTTCAGGTCCCGAGAACACGTTCAATCATTAAACGTTCAGGAGGAGAAACTTCCAGGAACGTCTTCGCTTTGTTTTAAAGTGAAACAAGCTGCTGATTAACACAAACTACAGAAATACAGCTCAAAGCTCAGGGGTTTATCTTCAGTAACTGTGAGGCTGCAGAGTTCTAATTTTAGGAGTTTATCTTCAGTAATTGTGAGGCTGCAGCGCTCTAACCTCCAGGGGTTTATCCTCAGTAACAGTGAAGCTGCAGAGTTCCAACCTCAGGGGTTTATCCTCAGTAATTGTTTGGCTGTAGAGCCCTAAACTCACGTGTTTATCCTCAATAACTATGAGGCTACAGAGTTCTATGTTCAGGGGTTTATCTTCAGTAACTTAAGCTGCAGAGCTCTAACTTCAGCGGTTTATCTTCACTAATTGTGAGGTTGCAGAGCTTTAACTCAGGGGTTTATCTTCATTATTTTTTTGGGCTGCAGAGCTCTAACCTCGGGGGTTTATCTTCATTAACTGTGAAGCTTCATATTTCTAACTTCAAGGGTTTTATCTTCAATAACTGTGAAGCTGCAAAGCTCTAAATTCAGGGGTTTATGTTCAGTAACGGTGAGACTACAGAACTTTAACCTCAGGTGTTTATCTTCAGTAATTGTTTGGCTGCAGAGCTCTA